TTAATAAAGCACACCTAACTAACCTGACAGAGGGTTAATTTAAAAAAAAAAAAAAAAAAAAAAAAAAAAAAAATTAATTAATTATTCATTTTTACTAATTATAGTACAAGGTGTCTATATCATTAAGGCATGTAATAAACAGACTCGTATTCTGCTGAATTTTTAAAGTTCAACTCGATTTTTTCCAATTCCGATCAATTCCACCTCGAACACAAGTGCAGCATTCTCTAAAATGAGATTAGTAATCAAGACATCAGAAGAAACAAATGGTGCGTGCATCATTAATGTCTGTAAGAGGTCATCGAAAACTTACCGGGAATAACCGGGGGGCTGCCTCTTGTTCCATAGGCGAGATGGGAGGGAATGATTAATTTTCGTTTTTCACCAACGCACATACTTTTTATGATTGAAAGGTTTGATTGGTTTTTTTAGATGGTAATTTAAACAAAAATGAAAATTCGCGCCTTTCAAAGCTTACCCTCTCAAACCTAGATCCCATCCTTTATATGCGAGATCACGGATGAATATGCAAATTAGAAAATAAAGATGGATGATTTCTTTCGAATATATTGTGAAACTAACCCTTGATTACTTGGCCAACACCTTGATACCGCAAAAAAACGAGGTTATTTAAAGTTCAAGGGAGTTCTCAGGAAACGAAGACAGAATATTGCTCTTACCTAAAGTAAAAGTGAAAGGTTCACCTCGAGGAATACTGGAATCGAATTCTTTTCCGCCTTCGAACAAGACCCCCGTATAATGAACGGATATCGAATCCCTGGTGTGTGATTGATTCATTATTTTATTGGTAAGTAGTTACTAAACCGCATAGGCTTTTTGTTGATGTATTTATTACCCGTCGCGAGTCTTTCTGTTACATTGACCTTCAGGAACTCGATGTTTGATACCTTTTTTAATAGAAGATATTGATTGGTTGAGTGAGCATGTTTTAAGAATTTACAAATTTTAGGGATCAAGCTCACAAAGAAAATAACGAAATTGTGAAATTCAATACCAATTTGTAATTCTTTGGGTGGCTCTCTTGCTTCGACAAAAATTTTGCAACAGACTAAGAGCACGAATACTCTGAACAGCAAGACTATGTTTCGACGCATTCCTCTGAATTAGAAATGGTAGGAAAGTAATTTGAAAGAAGAGTATATAAACGGATCAGTTCCTGCCGATTTATCACGTGATTTTAATTTATATATAGCGGAGGAGGAGGACCGAATCTTTTTTACTTTACAGACTTCATTGAGCCGCGATGTCACAACGTCAGACGGATCGTAAAGGAAAGAAGACATTCAGAATAGAGCAAGCTCTGAAAGAGAAAGAGACGGTTGGAGGCACCACCTTATCACTTTAAAGTGTTTTGCTTGATTTCGTCAAACACGGAGTTTTGCTTGGAACGTTAAAAAAAGAGAATCTCAAATGTATCTTCCGACACGACTTTTTGAACACGTGGAATATATATATATGATAATAGGGGAATACGTTCTTCAAGAAGGGGAATTACAAAAAGGCTATTGAGCACTATGGGAAGGCATTGGAATTGGATCCCAAAGAAGCGGTCTATGTCATTAACCGAGCAATGGCCCATTTGAAGTTGAAAAAGTGGGTGTGGAGTTCATTAATTACTATTAACGTTAAACCAAAGAAAAAAATTTTAATAATTCATAAATCCATTCGCAGTTGGGTAGAAGCCGAAAGTGACTGTACTCTAGGATTATTACTACACCCTGGTAATGTCAAAGCTCTTTGGAGAAGAGGAATTGCGAGAAGAGAAATGGGAAGTTTGGAAGAAGCCAAAAAAGGTGGAGAATATAAAAACCATTTCGTAGATTCGATGCAGGTGTAATATTTGGACCCAGACTTACGTATATTATAATTAGATCTCGAAGATGCATTAAAGTTGGAGCCAAACGACCAATCGATCAATGATGAATACTCTAAAGTCATGGATGCTATTAATACCGTTCAAGTGGTTAGAAAGGATGAAAATTGGTTATGAGAAGATAAATGCAAATGTCAATAATTTGAACGGGCTGTTACACTAACACCTCGAACACACTCACCTTGATTTACACAGAAACCGAAAGAGATTTTCCAAAATGCAACAATCACCAATACAGTTGAAACCAAAGCCATTGTGAATAAGATATCTAGAAGAAGGTTAACCGTTGAAGAGGTCGAATTCGATGAGGATGAGCGAATCATCGAGTCGACAAAAAGAATGCAGCTAACTAGTGATAAAAACGAAGAAGTAAAAAGTCCTATCATGTAATGCTAACAACTTTACAATCGACGTTATCTCTCAATAACGATACATCATCATTGCACAAGTTAAAAAAGGAATTGACCGCTCCCACGGAGACCACTCGCCAAGAAACCAACAAACCTCGTACAATGATTGAGTTTGAACGTGATTGGAGCAGGTGTAAAGAGAATGACGAGGAATTGTACAAATTTATTAAGGTAATTGAGCTGCGTGAGTAAATGTTTGAGGAGTTCACCGATTTTAATTATAAACTTCTCAAACGCCGCAAGATCATCCCGCCTGCTACATATCCGACACTCTTTTCCGACTTTTTTGAAGCAGATCATCTATCTCGCATCATAGTTATCTTGAGAAATTTCTTTTTGGAGTATGCATTCAATGCTACAAATTGCATTTATCCTCGAACGTGAATACTGATTATGATTATATACTAATTTCAGGCGTGAATCTGTAAACGAGGTATACGACATGTTATATTATTTGAGTCGCGTCGAGAGATTCGATATAATCATGATGTTTTTGGAAAAGGAGGACAAGAAAGGTAAAAAAGTAAAATGCCAATTTTCTCCTCTAACCTTCTTCCGATTTACCGAAATTTTAATAATAATAATGAAAGGATTGGACGTATTGTTTCGTGCGCTAATGGAATCATCCAAGGATCCACAGGATGACGATAAACGGAGATTGACGAATGCGACCCCTCAGGAGGTGGCAAATTTGATCAAAGTTTATGGAATTCAGGTTTCACAATGAAACCTATATTTTTGCGCGTGTAAACTTTCGCTGTGAATACTATTTATTATCATTGTTCAATTATAAAATAATCCCTGAGCAACACTGAATTTTACTTCATTCGACTAGTTTAATTCCTCCTCCTCTTCTTGTTGCTGCGGTTATTAAAATTTGGTCAACAAAATGCTCCAAAGAAAGAAATAACAATAAAACCCTAAACATAAATATAAATAAATATATATATATATATATTCACCAAAAATTTTCTTTGCTCAATGAACCAGGGTGGCAAATTATGGGGCAGTGTGATCAGATCCATGTCAAACAGTTCGATAAATTGTTCGTTCACATATCTAGCCTTATTTCCGGCATAGCATCGATACTAGTTCACCGTATTCCATATTTTAGAGGTGATCGACGAGGGAATATGATAGTAACAAATGAATCAAAATATTACCTCGATAATGATCGAATTGAAATTCCAATTTTGTAGTTTTCTCAGGCAACCGATAAATGTACCGGTCTCGTGTATTCCAGAACTTTTTTTTTTTTAGGGAAACGAGTTATTAGTTTCGTGTCCGGTCGGGCACATTAATTTCCACACAATTCGAAAAAATGAACATACGTGCACATGACGAGGATCGGATAATTTGAAATGTCCAAAACCATTTCCAAGCCATCCTTAATCAACTCTTCGCTAACGGGTCTCCATCCGAGATTAGGCTTCCAAACTCGAAGACCCAGGTGAATCTTTTATTGATATGCTTATGAGTTACAAAACGAATGCCGTTGAATGATCCGGCGAACTCGGACATTTATTCTTACAAGAGTACCGATTTAATATTATTCTCCTCAATAAAATTTGTTACCGCGCGAGTCGGAACTTCAGGAGATAGGATAAGTATGGTCTTTAGGTTAAGAGATTTTATAAAGGGGAAATGTGAGGTGTGTAACATGTCTGAGCGATAAAGACCTTTTTCAACAATTCCAAACTGCTCGGGTGGAATGAACATTTTTTATTAATGTATGTAATTTTGGTAATTGCATTTCGAAGGTGCATGGAAAAAATTTTAGGGTTACACGCATCTCCGCCAATCAACTTGGCCAGATAAAAAAAAAAATTTTTTTTTGAAGGATCAATCTCAACTTTTATTAGGGTTCGAATTATTATAGCATTGAGAGTTGCGAAAAATGGCAGAAGCTGTGCAAACCTATGGCCGTAAGGTAAAGTTATTACTGATACACGACTACGTCCGAGGTTACTGTGCAATTATTTGTTGAGCAATATGAATCTTTCGAATATATATGAATTCTAGAAAACTGCGACTGCCGTCGCCCACTGCAAGCGCGGCAAGGGACTCATTAAAATCAATGGATCGCCAATCCACCTTGTCGAACCCGAAATTCTGAGATTCAAAATATACGAACCAATTTTACTCTTGGGTCAAGAAAAATTTGCCAATGTTGACATCAAAGTTCGTGTTAAAGGCGGCGGTCACACCTCTCAAGTTTATGCTATTCGTCAAGCAATTGCAAAATCTATTGTGGCATTCTATCAGAAATATGTTGACGAGGCTCAAAAAAAGGAAATCAAGAATATGCTTATTTGTTATGATCGATCTTTATTGGTGGCCGATCCCCGTCGTTGCGAACCAAAGAAATTTGGTGGTGTTGGTGCTCGTGCTCGGTATGCCTTTTTACATTTTAGCTATTTCTTCTTCGAGAAATGTATTAACTGCTTACTTGATATTTCTTTTATTCAGATACCAAAAATCATATCGTTAATATTAATATTGTTAAAAGTACTGTTAATAAATTGCTTGTTATCTTGTTATGTAGAAATCTGTTAAAGTCACTCATTAAAAATTCTTGGAATTAACAATCTCTATTCTCGTCATAATATTTATTTTCTTGTTCGAGTTCTTCAATCACTGGATATTTTATTTGAGATTGTTTTTCGAAAGTATGATTAAAAAAAAAAGGAATCAAATCATCAAGTTATTTGACAAAGAATAGATACAGTATTTGAAGTCGATAAAAATTATCTCTTAAGATATGATGGAAAACCTTTTTGCATTGTGAGTGACCGAATTATTATGATTAAACACGAATCATACTGTAAATATAAAACTTTTTATTTTACTTGTTATGTAAATTTTCAAGTTTTGTTTTCTTGAAGTTTGTTTAATTACTTTGATATTAAGGTTCTCTCCATTATTTATACCATATACTATTGGTTTTTTAAAAAAGTTTTTTTTTTTTTTTATAAATGCTAACTTATTCAAAGATTTTATTAAGGATTGAAAAAAAATAATATATAAAATAGAGATTACCATCTTTATTAAATTAAAACCTAGCTCTATATTGCTATTTCTGTAACAACACTGATATTCTAAAGGCCTATTAGGATAATAAAAGAAAAAAGAATTAAAAGAATAAAATAAGGCTAAAAGTTATAAAAAATATAATTGTTAATATAAAATAAAAACAAAAAACAAAAAATCATATCTTTATATCTTTAAAAGAAAAAAGGAATAATTTATTATTTTGTTTTTTTTTACTTTTTAAAGTAGTTTTGAAAATTAATTTTCTTGATATTAAATAAAAATTAAAATTCTTAGTTTTTTTAAAAAAATCTACAATTATGGCATATAGTTTAATCTTTATTGAAAAATTTATATAAATATCTATTATATTATAGATTTTTTATATAATAACTAATTCATCATTATATCAATGTACTCTAAATCAGATTTAGAAAATAATATTTTACTTTTCTAGAGAATTGATATAAATTTCTATCCATTAGATTCATTATTAATAGTTTATTATTATATATTGTCTAATAATTATAAATTATTAAATTAATAAAAAAAAAAAAGATATAATTCAAGTTTCTTTAAAAAAATTCATTAACTAAATAATCTTTTTTCAAAAGGATTTATCTGATTAAAATATTTTTCTTATTTCTACTTTATCATTATTTGATAAATCAATTCAATCAAGTCCATTATTTAAATAATATTAAATTGAAATTATTATTTAAGAAACTTAAGAAGAACAGAGTTTTATAATTTGTATTATTTATATTCTATTTTTTAATATCTTGAATATCTTCTTTAAGAGCTTGAAACTTTTAAAGAAGAACAATTTTCAAAACTTTTTTTTTAATTATCACTAATATTATTAAAACATGTGAGTATAATTAATAAAAACTTATTTATATTTCATAAATTAATATATTTTATATCAATCAATCATCTTTTATGAGATTTTGTAATATATTAAATTTAAGATCAAACTAAAATAGATAAAAATTTTTTAAAAACTATAAAAGTAAAAGTTTTAAGAGAAATAAGACAATCAAAAAGAAAAAAAACAATTCTTTTACTATAACAAAATATCTATAATATCTTGCTTCAAAGATTAAAAAAGTTTTCAAATATTTTACAATCAGGTTTTCTTTCTTTAAAAAATTTCTTGCTATTGATATCAAAGGTATTATTTGATTTTTCTTGATCATTAAAAGTTAAGTTTTTAAGTAAAATAATTTATAAACAAGAAAAAAAAAAAAATATTTTTTGAAATTATATTTTAAGTTATTTAATAAAAATATTGAGACTTTTTTAGTAAAGAAGTAAAAAATCTATGAATATCTTTTTTATATATAATTAAAAAATTATGCTAATCAAAATTATATTATTTAACAATTAAATTTAATAATAAAAATATTGATAAACTCTTTTTGATTATTGCCACTTGATATAAAATTATTAATAAAAAATTAGTAAAATAATTTCAGTATACTGTAATAAAAAATTTATTAATGAATTTGTAATACTATAAGAAAATTTAATATATTGTACAAAAATTTTAATAAAAAATTTGTATATTATAATAAAAAAAAATTTAAATAATGTGATAAAAAAATTTATAGATAGCATAAAAAATTTAACAAAAAAATTGCATACTATAACAAAAAATTTAACAAAAATGATAATATTTAAAAAGTTTAACAATTTTATAAAATTTATTTTCTTTTTCTCTTTTTTTACTTACTTTTCTTTTTCTTTTAAAAATTTTAGTTTAACTCTTTTAAAATTAGTTTTAATTAATTTATTATATCAAATTTTTTTCTAGTTTTTTTATATTTTTTTTTCTAACCTTTTAATTGTTTTTCAAATTTTACTTATTTGTATACTTTTTTCAGTTTGTTTCTTATTTTCTGAACATATTAATAATTTCTTATATTTAATAATTTTTTATCTTTTAGATTTATACTAGTCAAAAAATATTTATTTAGTATAATGCCACTAATGTAACATTCATCAAAAAAATAAATAATTTAATATATTAATGACTTAAATAAATTTTCAATCAATTTTTATTATATAATTCAACAAAAATAAATTATTAATCAATTTTAATTATATAATTCAATATTATTTGTCATATAATTTGCATTATTTTTACTATATATTTTATTAAAAAATTTCATAAAAAATCATTAGACATTCATTAAGATTTCAATTTTATTAAAATTCACATATTTGTTAAATTATTAATTATATATTATATTTATTATTTAAAGAAATTATAGTTAAATATTCACAAGAGCCTTGCTAATTTAATATTTTATATCTAAATAGGATAAACTGATCAAAAATATTATAAATAGAAATTATGTATTCACATCTAACTAGGTAAAATTCAGTATTCCACAATTCAACATTTGTGTCATTTTTAGATCTAAAATAAAATCTATTTTTTACTGAATTAACTGATTTGTACTATCAAATAAAGATCAATCGATATTCAATAACATTATTCAAAAAATTTATTGAATATGTAAACAAGAATTGAATTTGTTTCAAATATAAATCAATACTTCTATCATGATTTACAAATTGAGCTAATATAAATAGACCCTTAATATTTTGTAAAGATATAACAAAATAGAATATTTCATACTCAATTCAAAATTTATTATATTAATCTGTTCTATTCTGAATAATTATTAAATTTTCATTATCTTTCATAAATAATTTCTAAAAGTCTATAGTTTTATAAGATGCTTTATAATATTCAACTAATAGATCTAATATTTTGGTATATACCCCTAAATTTGATTTTTTTAGATATAAGAGTTCACTTTGAAAAATGTTTAGATCTATTGATAATTGTTTTATAAATATTATATATATTGTTTAAAAATTAATATAACTTGTTAACCAAAAACTGATTTGATTCAAAAATTGAACCAATATTTGATTAATTATTTAAAATTTCAAGCTTTTGATTATTAGAATAGGACATAGTTAGATTAATACTTCAATGATTATTTATCAATGATCATATTAATTCAAATTCAATATTTTGATGATTATTAAACAATAAATCTAGATTAGAAATTTATTAAAATCATATTTTTAAATATTAAATTTGTTTAAAAACCTATCTAATATATTATTTATTCTTTCAAATTAAAAGCACTAAAATATATACAATAGCCTATAATCACATATGTATTTATATAAATATAATAAAAAATAAAAATTTAAAGTAATTTTTTCTTTTTTATATTTTTGTTCTATTAGTTTAACCATTGCGACTAATCTTTTGTGAATCTCATTTAGCAAAATTTGACTTAAAATTCAATATACTAAGATTTAATAAATCTTGTCAAAATTTATTAAAATTTAATGATCCATATCTAAAAGATGTTTATATAGAATGATAGTTGTATATATTGCGAAAAAATTTCTCCACTGATTGACAATAAAGTTCAAATTTCTTCTCCATTATTTATTTTTCTCAAAATTCAATTAATATCTGATAATATTTGAAACATTTCTATTATTAATTATATTTTATATAATGCATTATTCATTAGTTTTTTTTTTTTTTTTTTTTTTTTTTTTTTTTTTTTTTTTTTCTTTTTTTTTTTTTTTTTTTTTTTTTTTTTTTTTT